CTGATCACCAGATGGCAAACAGGGAACTGGAGTGGGGTGAGGGGGCAGGACTAGGGAATAGCAAGGGGAACTGGATGGGTGGCAGCAGCGGGGTGGGACTGGGGGCTGGCAAGCGGGTGGGAAGCTGGTTCTGATCACAAGCTAAGCCTAGGGACCCTACCCGCACATGGTTTCATGTTCTGGGCCTCTAGTTGTTAAATAAAATCCATAAATAATTTTAAAAACCTCATCATTTGCTCAAGAAATTTTAACTTCTTATTAACAAGTTTAAAAAATTAAGAAAATTTTAACTTTAAACCCCTACCAAGGCTTGTTGAATATCACTGTTAAACCAAATTAAGACAAACCAACTAACTAACCAACCAACCAACCAATATAAAAACCTTCACGCATCTACAAGTGCACTCAGCTCTTTGCTTCCCACACAGCTTTGACATTAGTGCTAACCTCGTAGTCAGATAGACCCTCACAGGCAACAAGCATCTAGATTATCTCATTCATTTTAGTCTATACAGGAAGGACACAAATAAGTAGCTTGTGAATAAAGAGAGATGCATACTCACATCAAGGACTTACACCCTGGCTTTTGGGTCAGATACATACATAGGCCATGTCAATATATATATATATATATAGTGTCCCAACAAATGTATATATATCTTAATAATTATTAATTTCAATGGGTTAAATCTGAAAAGAAAGAAACATCAATTGAGCTATCAGCTATAAAGTGTATATACATTTTTGAACACTCTATATAAATATTAGAGATAGACATCAATACTTGTATATCTCTATGGAGATGTTATATAAAATAGTGATTCAAATTAAGAGTATAATAACTTTGTAGCCAACATGGTAATACCTTCAGAATTACAAATATACAAACCTTTGATGCAGTAATTCTAATTATAGAAATTTACCTTTAAGATAGAGTCATACATGTGTATAAAGCCATATGTACAAAGATGTTATTTATAGGCATGTCTATAATGACAAAAGCTGAAAGAAAATTCTAAACAAATCTCCATTTTTATTCATACACACACACACACACACACACATACACACCAGTTTATTTGCTTACTATGTGCCAGGCACTATTATCTATTTATGCACTATATATATATATATATATATATATATATATATATATATATACATATATAGTATTAAATATTTGGATGACTGCATTTTGCACTTTTCATCTGCATGGTCTTATTCAATACAGTGTGTAACAGCCCTGCTGTGTGTTGCTGAGAAGATAAACAAGGCTTTTATTTTCAGCATGTTTATATGAATATTGGAAGCACTTTGGCAGCTTCAGTTTGCTGATTGTCCTACAGTACTCTCTGCTTTTAACACAGGATTTTCTCCCTGACACAGGAGACCTGGTGAGAGGACTGACTGTACCTACAAGTTTCCAGAGTCCTAGGTCATCAAGGGAGTCAAGGCAGAGCAGACCTACTTCCTAAGGTTTGCCAGTTCTTCACAGCAGCACCTCCCTGTGATGTCCTGCACCATCTATAGAGTTCTCAAGGAGTAGAGCTTCAGCAAGATCCATGACATTTTGTGATTTGTCTACTTTACTGAACTCCAGATTAATGGAATAGATTCAGTCCATTTGGTGTGCCAACAAGTGGGTTTGGGGATTCTATGAGCCCCCAGAAATTGTGTGTGCATATTTATGTGTATGATATATCAATTATAATGTATATGTAAATTATATATAACATTTATTTATATGTAATATAAATAATTAGCTGGATTCTCAAAGACAATTGTAATATCCCACAAGAAAACAGAAAATTAGAAATCACTGGTTTAGAGATTCAAGTCTCCACTTAAGGACACATTTAAATGGCATTCGTAATTCACTTAAATTACTTTCTGTGAAGTAGAATACCTGGCTACTCTGATATTCTCTCAATGCATTTTTAAAAACTTACTTATATGGTGCCACAATCATTTAGTGCATTAAATGGCTTTTAACTAGTCCTGGATTAAGTGTTTTGGTAAATAAAGCCTTTGGTAAATAGCTATTATCAGTATTATACACTCCACCATTAGAAGGGGATTTTATAGATAGAAATTCTCGCATGACTCAAATTAAAGCAGAAAATGCTTGTTGAGTATCCTACTGTGTGGGAATGTGTCACAGTTCCACCAGTGCTCTCCAATGCAGCCATAACAATACGCCAGGTGGGAGAAAGTTGTAGGTGTCTGAGCTCACTCAATGCAGGGGAACGAGGAGGACCACAGGGTCCAGGGCTAGATGGCCTGGGTTCAAGCCTACCTTTATCATTTTCTAGTGGTGTGACTGGGCATGTGGCTTCACCTCTCCAACAGGTGATTTTTCCATAAAATGGGGGGTGAGCACATGAAATAAACCAAGTACCTAATGCATAGTAAATGGTAGCCGTTATTGTTATATGACACCTATTTATGCATACTATAAAAGTCAACCAAAGACTACCATGCAGAATTCAATGATGGCAAACATATGATGGGACCTAATTCTTTGGGATGGATTTATTTATGACCACGATAGAAGACCAGATCTGTAATGACTCATTAGTTTATTTCAGAAGTAAAGTGACAGCTTTAGCAGACTAAATTGTATTCCCTAGGGAAATCATAAAGGAATTTTGAAATGAAAGTAAAGTCTGTGTGACCCCCCCCGCCACCAGGGGTTGAATATTCCCTGGCTTATTGGATGTAATAATTTGACCAGATGGGGAAAGTAGGCTGGTCCTGGCAGAGCTAACTTACATCTTGTCGGAAAGCAGCACACGGAAGGAAAATGTTCTCAGCCCAGGCTGCCATAAGTCCCGCAGCTGCTGGCTGACAGGAAGGTGTCTAACATCTCGGGTCGACTGGAACCTCTCTAAGCTGGCTTTTTACAAAATTCTGTGCAAGCCTAGCAAGACTAGATGGAATCTCCCCTTTTGAGAGGGATTCTATTTCACATATTTTAAAATTTCTCACAAAACCTTGTGCTGTACAGTTTCTCAAGTCACTTTGATGAGTTGAATTAAAATTCCTCTGCCAAGGTGGAATGGTGAGATTTGGTCAGTGGGACTCCTTAAGAAATAAATGGGTCACTCCTCGCCCAACTGGAGCTGTGACTGAATTTAAGGGCCCGTTTCAGCCTGTGCTTCTCCCAGAGCACTCTCAGAGTTTATAAGCACTAGTTGTCAGCGGAATTTTAGAATTTATTCTATTGTTCCTACTTATTTCTGATAGTATGTCCTTCTAGGGCCTGGATTGAAATCTGAATCCAATCTCTATACCTCAGAAGTCTCTAGAATGGCCCTTATTATATGGTTGTCGGGTTAGGATTTTCAGAGACTCATGAAAGGCAATTTAAAGGCATGCCTTATGATAATTTCTCCTGCCACAAGATCAAAGCATCCCTTACAAATCTTTCCCAACACTACATCTTCCCACCCCCCTCCAGTACTGAATCTAGGGCTAGCTTTAGGCAAATCTGTAAAACACATTCCCATTCCTTACACTTCGGTTCTGTTTTTATGTGGGACTTTCTATTGCTGATCATGATGGGAAATCAGTTTTACATGTTGGCACTGTCCTTTAAAAATTTCCAACTCTTTCACAGCAATTTTTCTTAACACCCCCCCCCCATAAGTGGGCACCAACAACCTTATCGTAGAATTGAGGAAACTGAGGCCCAGAAATATTGGGATATGTCTGGAGTTCCAAGGCCACCCAGAATTAGGTCACGTGGGAGTTTATGTCCTCAGCTCATGCCTGATTTCTCTGATGTCTGTGGTGACCACGTAACAATGTTAGCCTCTGAAACCATTCTCTACAGACTTTAAGTTGAGTGCCCCTGATCTGATCCATGAACTAATCTGTAGGATGCAGCTATCACTTTGGAACCTGATAGATTAGCCTGATTCCTGCCTCCAACTTTAACTCATTGTGAGCACTTGAACATACTATTAATCATTTGTAAAATGGAGAAATATTCACTTGTGGGCTATCAGAAGGAGTAAAGGAAAGTGACACACTTATCCCAGTGCTTGGCCCACTGCAGGTATCCAATAAAAAGTAGGAAAAGTAGCTGGGCGGGTGTGGCTCAAGGATTGAGTGTGGACCCATGAACCAAGAGGTCACTGGTTTAATTTCTGGTCAGGGCACATGCCTGGGTTGCAGGCTCCATCTCCAGTAGGGAGGTGTGCAGGAGGCAGCCAATTGATGATGCTTCTCTCTCATTGATGTTTCTATTTTTCTATCCCCACTCCCCACTCCCTTCTTCCTCTCTCTCTCTCTCTCTCTCTCTCTCTCTCTCTCTCTCTCTCTCTCTCTCTGTCTCTGTTGAACTATATGAACTATACTGTTCATATAGTCACTCACAGCAGGGGAATTATATTCTCCTACTCACCAGTCTAGGTTTCTTTCTTCTAGACCATTTGTTTCCTAAAATGAGGGTCTCCCAAGAAAATGCTTCTCAAGGTTAGTAGTATTCATGAGTCACATAGGAATCTTAAGATGCAGGTTTGATTTAGTAAGTTTGGGATGGACCTGAAGTCCTAACACACACTTAGGTGATATCAATCCTGCTTTTAGACCACATTCTGAGCAGGGAGAATGTGCCCAGTGAGCTGGACTTAGGGGACAAGATTCTTCAGGACCAGTGGTTCTCAATCTTCACAGTTCATCATAATTAACACGGTGGGCTTTTACAATAAAATTAAACCTATTGTGTCCCACCCAGAGAAGGTCTGAGGTGGGGTCATAAAAAGTCGTTTCTAACAGATTCCCAAGTAATGTTGATGCTGCTGGTCTGAGACTAAGTTGCTCTATACTTAGCAGGGCGTGCTGAAGACCAGAAGGAAATTTGGTCACCGTGATTACTCTGACTTTTAGGAGGGGGATGAACCTTCCTGAGTAGGCAAGCTCCTACCAAAGACTTGCCCATTTCCCTCTCTCTAACCAGCCACCCTCCCCTCCGGCTAGCAGCTGGCGCCTTTTACCTTGTAGACATTGATGGGGATGTCAATGATGATGTGCAGCAGGTCTCCCAGAGCCAGGCTGGCTATCAAGATATTAGGGCCGTTTCTCATGCACTTGTTCTTGTAGATAATTCTCAGCAGCGTGGAGTTCCCGATGATGCCCAGCACGAACACCAGGCAGGACACCACCGTGTTGATATACTTGAAAGTCTCTTTGATCTCAATGGATCCTGTGCACGGGGGAGGGGGATGGGCGCGAGGCGGGGCTCCAGCCGGCTGCTTCCCTGCTTTGGGCATCTGCGGAGGTGCGGATGACCACGGCAAGCTGGCGTTGGACCCTGATGTCCTGGAGGTCTTAGTAGGGGCTATCACGATCTCTCGGGCCCCCAGAAGCGGCGGCGGAGTGGTCGGTGGGAGTCCCTTCTCTTGTCCCTGCACTCCCGCCACGCCGCTGACCAGGATCAGGGCCACCAGGGCGTGTCCGCACAGACTTGGCAGCGGCTGCATGCTTCCCCCGGCTCCTGTGGGCGTCGGGTGGCCGCCCCGCAGCTCCCGGAGGAGTCTGGAGGTCAGTAAGGGAGACAGGACACGGGTCAGCTCCCTCCACTACGCCCCTGCAAGCCTCTAGCTCCCTCAGCTCGCTCTAGCGCCGTTCCTGTCCTGTCCTGTCCTCGCGCAAAAGTCACTCAAGTTTGCGCGGCGGCGGTGGGAAGCTGGCCGGCGGGACCCGCCTGCATCCGTCCACTGTCCTTCCAGAACCGGCTTTCCCCGGTGGTTTTACTCCCATGCGTCACCCACTCCCCACCCCTCGGGGTGAATGACTCGCAGCTGGGCGGGGCCTTCTGGAAGGGGTGTGTCTGGGAGGGGAGGGAGGGTGTCCCGGATTCAAAGCCCAGTTCCTTGGTGGGCCGGGGGGGAGGAAGCCTAGAGGTCTGGCTAAGGACACGTGGCGACTGACTGGGGGATCCAGGCACCTAGAGACCAATGGGATGTGCCAGTGTTTGCATTTTCTCCGCAGGAGGCCCTGGTCCCCTGTTTGTGACAGCCAGGACTCCTCCTGGTGGGGGAAGCCGCTATTCTCTCGGGCTGCCTGCGCTCAGGTCCCCGGGCGCCCGCAGGAGTGCAGTGCGCGGGCTGGCTCGGAAAACCTCGGAGACTTCTTTGCTTCTTCGGGAAGACTATCAGCACTAACTTGCAAACTTCTGTCCCCTCCAAGCAGATTCAAACACGTGCGCTCCCTCTTTTACTCCAACCTTAATTCGTGCGTCTATACGTGTGTTTTTAAAATGAGATATCTATATCCTCAAACTAGCAATCCAAGCTGGCGCCCAAAGTTTACTCACTGATTTTAATTCAGCACCAAGCCAGAAGGTTTACCTTGCAACGGGGACGCACCAGGCTCAGCGAGACCAGCCGGGACCCCCTTCCAGGGATGGGTTCCCAGTTCGGTCCCCAGGTCCCCCGAGCAGAGAGCGCCTCCCTTCAGCTGCATGGGAAACGCTGGAGGAGGGAAAACCGGGTCGTGTTGTCTTCCCAGTGGACTCGGGGTCTTTGCTGTCCCTCGACAAGTACTTTTATTCCTTCATGCCCTCATCATCAATCACCGCCAGCACCCCCCCCCCCCTAATCCCCCCCACTCTCCCCCAAGCGACTTTCGACCGCACCACAACCTTTCCCCTTGGGCGATGCCTGGACAGCATCAGCGGGAGCTGCCCGCTGCAGAGGGAAGTCACGTCTCTGCTCAGAAGCGTCCCTAGGGGCAGTGTATTTGTCATCCATCAGTTTCCCAAACCGGGAGGCTAAGCCCCCGGCGCCTTTGTATGCACTCCGGGAGGCTCGGGCTCCGCACTGGAGCAGGGCTCTAGACTAAATGACTCAGTCTGGACGTGCAATGCCTACCGTGACTTTCCAGTAAACACCCCGAGTGATAGCGAAGACCTGGCTGGCTGGGCGGCGCTGCTCTTTGCTCAGTTTTTGTTTGGTTCTTGATGTCTCTGGCAGCGACCACTATCTCTTCATGCTGTCTCCCGAAATGTTATTATCTGGCCATCTCAGGGACCTGACACTTCCAGGGAGCATAGAAATCAGAAAGCTGCCATCCAAATCCAGGGTATTTGTCAGGCAGAGCCATAAAATGAATTCTTCCTCTGTCTCCCTGAACTCAGTTTTGTATGGGATAGAAAGTGTTGGGGCAGGCACAGGAGACTTGGTTGGGAAGTTTGTAAGGAGGGCATTCTGATAAAAGGGAAGTGTGTGGAAAGTCGTCGGCACTCTATCGGAATTCTGACTTAAGGGAGACTTAGGGGAGTATGGAAGTGGGTAGCCCCAATTATTCCTTGACCTTTCCAAACAAGCCTGTGCATGCGCAGACCCCTGGGTGTTTACTGGAATCCTTATGCTTAATCCTTGGATGCCTTTGCCTAGAGGACAATGTAAACACGTGTGTTCTCCCAAAGATTACTCACCCTACGAATTGCATCTAAAGATAAAAATCTCAATAAAGACCTAAGGCGACAGGCAATCCAGGCTGCTTGGACCCTTGAGTCAGGCAACCCCCTTAGCACTCTCCCCCACAGTAAAAATGTCCCAGTGATCTGTTCACCGGACATTCAAGGGCTACTGGTCAGCCCCAGAAAGAAATAATAGAGACTGAGAGTTTTGCCCAAATACTGTATAAACAGGAGTCAGAAATTCAGGCTGTGGGACGCACACTGGATATTACCCTGCTGGTTCCAGTCCACTGGCTCCATCTGTGAAACTTCAGACCCAGAAGGAAGCATTTCATGTAGCAACTCACATAGAGACTAGGTGGCTGGTTCTCGGCTTCACAGCTAATTCATGGCATAAGTGGGACCAGGATCTTGAATTTTTGACTTCTATACAATGCTTTCTGGGAAAGAAGTAGAAAATCAATTTCTAATTAAACTTTAAATGTGAAATATGGTCTAAAGAACATGATTAAAAAGTAAGGCATAAGCAATGAGAAATATGGTCTAGGATTGTGGGTGCTAATTCCAAATCTGGCTATTTTGAGTGCGGTACTTACCCTCCCTGTCAGGGTAAAAACAGCGTCAACATTCAATTGCTTCAAAGATGAGCCAAATAATAATATACAGTGTTTATGTGAGTGAAGAATTATATGGATGCTTCACACATTCATCTGGAATATTTTATTCAGTTTTAAACCTGTCCTTTTTAGGCAAGCCTTCTTCCCATCATATATAGAGATCCTACAGATGGGCCACTTTCTCTACCTTTCTATTCACTCTCCCATCTTCACCACCACCTGTATTCATCTTTCCTCCACCACGTCTAGGATGTCCCTTCTAACTGAGATCTAGTTTCTCTCTTTTCTCAGAGCATTGTAAAGCTATTAAACATCACTGAGCACTTGGTCAAATAGAGACTTTTATGGGTCACTAACAATTTCATGTGAATTAATTTCTTTTTTAGGATAAGGATAGAATTGTATGTTGTTTTGATATGATACCAGCCATCAGTTGAATTCAAGAAAAAATTTTAAAGATTTAATAATTACACTTTATTTACTTATATTTTAGTAACTCTGTCTGTAAGGCACAAGATCAAAACCAAATAATTTTAAGGAAAACACACACATCCTTCATTTAAAATTTAAAATACAATATTATAGGGTCTACTACCTGTATTTGTCACCTCATTTACAGGATTTCATTTACTCCTTTCCAGCAGTCTTTGCACTAGGAATTGTTTTTATTATTTATAGGTAGTAAAATGGAGTCTCAGAAAGTCACTCAAGGTCACATGGCTGGTTAGTTGTGGTACTATGAATTGGAGAGAGGATTTGAATCCAAGATTATTTAGTTTCACAAACAGTGCTTTGATTAATTTAATTGCATAGAATTTAAATACATTTTTTCTTCTTTTTAAGGAAGCAATGTTTTAGATATCATTAATATTTAATTGAAGTTCCACCTGAAATTGAGTGCAAATGTAAAAGTCACTATAACTATGTGAAAGTTTTATTATTTGATCCTCATGAATGACCTTAATCAAACCACAAGAAGTTGAGTCTCAGTTTCCCAATTTGTAAAATGGAGAACAAGAATTATGATCTCTAAAGTTACTTCTTTCTCTGACACATCAGTCTGACAGTCAAACTAATTGATCTTGAAGAGCAGAAAAGTAAGAATAGATCTTAGGTCAGACATTTTTCTTCCTTTTTACTTTCTCTACTCATGCCTTGGGCAATGCTATCACAGGTGCAAGTTTTTCACCTTATGACTTAAAATTTCTTGTTGGTAAACTTTAATTGTAAATTCACCAGTAGTTAAAGTATTGTGTAGATTTTATTTGTAATCTAGAGGCCTGGTGCATGAGAATCATGCACTGGGGGAGAAGGGGTGTCCCCTCAGCCCTGCCTGCACCCTTTAGCAGTCCAGGAGCCCTCAGCGAATGTCAGACTAACGGCTTAAGCCTGTGATCAGTCATCCTTAGCACTGCTGCAGAGGCAGAAGAGGCTCCCATCACCTTCACTGCACTCGCCAGCTGTGAGCCCAGCTTCTGGCTGAGCGGCACCCCGCTATGGAGCGCACTGACCACCAGCTTCTGCATTGAGCGTCTGCCCCTGGTGGTCAGTGAGCATCATAGCGACTGGTCATTCCACTGTTGGATTGATTTTCATATCACCCTTTTATTATATAGGATAGAGGCAAAAAGTTGAATCAAAATTTAATAATCCTTTACTGAAAACTTTTGAGTTTGAACTAATTTCTCATTTAGTATATAAGAAGGTTTTCTTTTTGACTTAATAAATGTGCAATCTTTTACAAAGTTGCTTTTAGGAGTGCTCTAGGAAGTATATAAAACTTCCAGATTAGCTAAGATCACCCATCAAAGACAGACAGAAAGGGTGGTAAAGGACAATGTCCCACTATCCCTTTTAAATGGTTTAACTAGAAGATCCTGAACTCATGGTTGAATGCACTTCAGAATTCATTCCTCAAAGAGCTTTGCCATGGGGAGCCTGCCCAAAGCAAACTTTTTCCCCTGGTAAGAGAACAAAGAAAAACCTTTTTAGCCACAGAAAAAAAGCTAATTCTTTCATGTAATCCCCTTGATATGAATGTACCCTTCGAAACCTACCTTGCATTCTCTAAATCATGAATGCTGAGGGACAAGGTGTATGAAAAACACAGAAAGAGTTGCTTCAATTGCTTCTCCACACATTCCCCTCGGAACAGATCCAATGATCAAATAGTGGTTGAAGTAAGAGCATAAAGATTTAAAACGACTGCACAAATCAATAGCGAGCAGCCTGAGCATTTCTAGTTCTTGGATTTTTCTTTTATATTAAGTGACCTTAGATCTTTGAGACTTATGGTTAAAGATGCTCCTTTTCCCCTTTTGTATTAGTAAATTAAGGTATGATTTATAGTTAAATGGTCAGGAAATAAGTGCACGGTTTGAAGAATTTGGATAAATGTGTGCAGCCCTGTGGCCCATACTCAATGAGGCTTTTATGAATA